CGATGAGATGAGAGCCGAGTGGAGTCACATTTATCAGTGGCAAACTGGCTTCAGAGACAAATGAGACAAACAACCATTCACTCTCTCACTCTCACCTGGGGACAATTTAGAGTTACCAATCAGTCTAAGGTGCATGTTTTTGATCTGTGGGAGGAAACCGGAGAGAACATGCACACTCCTGAGTTAAACATTGCATTGCAAAATTTTAAAAATTGACTAAACTACCCAGTTAAACTGTGATGTTTCCACAGTGACGCCTGTCTGGGCTCCAAATATGACTGGGGTTTCTCACTGTTTTTGAATAGTCTCTTATTTTTTGATAATTCCATCTGTGCTGTAGTGTACTTCAATTTCAATTCAATTCAGTTTATTTATAGAGCGTCAAGTCACAACAGAAGTTGTCTCAGGGCAGTGAACATTCAGATTCACATATAAATAATAATTTAACATTATTTATATGAGGAGCAGACTGCTTTGAATATAACTCCATCACAACTCTCATCTTGAGCAAGTATGAAGGCAAGCATGGAAAGTAAAAACTCCCTCATGAAGAAGAAAACTTTAGCAGAACCAGGCTCAGGACAAGCGCCCATCTGCTTTGACCAACTGAGAGGAACAGATACACAATGGCAGGTCAAGAATCATATGTTAAGATAGAAATAGTATCAAATGAAAACTATTCAATTTTAACAATTCATTCAAGGGAATGAGGTCAATTTGTCCTCTAGTAGTCTAAGCTCAAGACAGCATAACAAGCCAACCCTAACTATAGGATTTATCAAAAAGGAAAGTCTTAAGCCCAGTCTTAAAACTGGACAATGTGTCAGTCTCACAGACAGAAACTGGAAGTTGGTTCCACAAGAGAGGAGCCTGATAACTGAAAGATCTTTCTCCTATTCTGCTTTTGGAAGCTCTAGGAACCACGAGTAAGCCTGCAGTCTGAGAGCAAAGTGCTCTGTTAGCAAAATATGGAACAATAAATTCTTGAATATAAGATGGAGCTAGGTTGTTGAGAGCTTTGTAGGTTAGAAGTAAGATTTTGAATTCAACCCTGGACTTTACAAGGAGCCAGTGGAGAGAAGCTAAAACTGGAGAAATATGATCTCTCCTACTAACTCCAGTTAAGACTCTGGCAGCAGCATTTTGGATCAACTGAAGACGTTTTAAAGACGTATTTGGACATCCAGATAATAAACCATTGCAATAGTACAGTCTAGACGTGACAAATGCATGGACCAGTTTTTCGGCATCATTTTTAGATCAGATGTTTCTAATTTTAGTGATATTACACAGGTGCAAGAAGGTGGTTCTAGTAACGTTTTTAATGTGGGGGATAAAAGACATGTCCTGATCAAAAATAACACCAAGATTTTTAGCATTAGAGCTGGAGGACAGATTAATGCCATCTAAGGAGGGAGAAAGACTGAAAAAATCATTCCTAAGGTGCTCAAGTCCAAAAACTAAAACCTCAGTCTTGTCTGTGTTCAAAAGCAGAAAATTTAGGATCATCCAGGTTTTTATGTCTTTAAGACATGCTTGTAGTCTAAGTAGCTGATTGAATTTGTTAGGTTTCATTGGACAAATTGTGTATCATCAGTATAACACAACAATTTCAGTCAGGTCATCTGGACAGTTTTTTATGAAAATTTATTTATATTTATTTATTTATTATAGCTGTTTAATAATTTTACCTAATGGAAGCATATACAAGGTAAAGAGTATTGGTCCAAGCACTGAACCTAGAGAAACTCCATGACTAACTTTGGTGTATGACGAAGCTTCATTATTTACATTTACAAATTGTAATCTATCAGATAAAAATTATTTAAACCATTTTAGAGCTGTTCCTGTAATTCCAATATCATGTTCAAGTCTCTGTAATAGAATATTATGATCAATTGTATCAAATGCAGCACTGAGATCAAAGGACCCGTGTAGACACTTGTCCATTATCAGAGGCCATGAGAATATCATTAGTAACTTTCACCAGTGCAGATTTAGTGCTATGATGAGCTCTAAACCCTGACTGAAACTATTCAAACAGATTATGTGGGATTCCTGGGTTTTTTGTCTGTCACTCAATCTTCCTTCCACAGCCATTTAACCTCAACTCACTCCACCTGCTGCTGCTCTGAGGAGGACTGCCTGATGAGGTATTTAAGCACCTGCCAGACACCTCTTCAGTGCTGGGACATCTTCTACCAAATGGTAACTTGTGTACAGCCGACTAACGTTTGTTACAGCTGGTTCTCACCAACTGTGACTCCTCCAGGACCTTCCACAGCCTGCCTCTTCAGAACCTCCCTAGGATCTCATCGCTCCACTGAACTTCACCTGTGGATCAACGGTGTCCCTTCAACAACCACCATTAAGCATTTTCAACTGGGTCAACCTGCTCCTCTCTCCACCGCAAAATACCTCAGGACTGGATCTCCTACAAAATCCCAGGACCTCTCCTCTTCTCAGATTCCACCTACAACACAAACCGTAAGGAGTCATTTCTCTATATTCAAGAATTAAAACATTCAGAGACCACCAGAACCCATACTCGCCTATTCCTCTTCTCCCTTACAGCTGCGAAGACACGATCACCTGTAAATAAAAGTTCACTTACCTTTTGTAGTTCTGGCTCTGTCTTTATTGAATCAGTCTGCTCACGTGGGGGTCGACGTTGATAAAAACCTGATAGATTATTTCTTTGTAGATATTCACGCAACTATATTCTTTAGATTTTTTTTTTTTTTTTTTTTTTTTTTAATGAAAGTTAGATATAGGTCTATGATTGGCTAGGATTCCTGTGTCAAGGTTATGTTAAGTAAAGGTTTAATTACAGCAGTCTTAAAACTCTGTGATACGTAACTGTTAGAGACAAATTAAGTAGATCCAAGATGTAGTTATTAAAGGGAAATGCCTCTTTAAACAGTCTGTTTGGGATAGATCTAGCAGACATGTGGATGGTTTGGATCAAGTTATTATTTTTGACAGTTCAGAGAGCTCAACAGGACAAAACTGTCCAAACAAATCAGGTTCTAGTGACATTTTTAAAGTTGTCTCATCTGACACAGAACCAGAGGTGATAGTAGGAAGGATGGTTTGAATTTTTTTCCCTAAAATGAAAAATGTATTTATAAAGAATCTCATGAAGTCACTTCACACAAATCACTCCAAATTCAGCTTCATTGTGAAGAATTTTTGTTTGGGCTTTTCCAAAGCTTCAAGAGGAGCTCCAAATCAAGCACTTCAATGTAGTGTTTTTTTTTTTTTATTACATCCCTTGCATCTAACAATGTGCTTGGTTCAGGTAGTAATAAATACTAAATCAAAGATAAATTATTTGCATTTCTTGCTCCATGTCTTCATGTTGTTCTGTCATCTTAAGAATTGAAATTGGTCGAGCATTTCACTTAAAGGACTGACAATCCGATGTAGGAGGAACAGGTCAAAGTTGGTAATAAAAGAGAAAATGCAGTATGCATTTAAATTTAGACTTTAATATCAGAATTCTGGGAATAAAACTCAAATTCTGTTTTTTTTTGTTTTTTGTTTTTTGTTTTTTTTTCTCCCTTCTCAGAATTCTAAAATATTCTGACATTAACATCAGAATTCTGAAAACAAACAAACAAATAAACCCCAGAATTCTGCAGTGGTGGGCCATCAAAGCCTTCTCTGCTGGCCTAAACACATTCAAAATCACTGACCTACATTTTTTTTTTTTTTTAACTATTCTTAACTGTTATCCTCATTCCATAGCTTTTCTCCTGGTTGCATAGTTTCCAGCAGCATATGGGAGTGGTGGTGCATCTCTTCCAAGGAGATAGAAAAAGACTGACAGTTGAAACAGAACCTCCATGATGACCTGTAGGACAGAGGAACTGAACTCTGACGGACGAAACAAAGGATGGAGTTTGTGTAAAAATAATAAAAAATTTGAGTAAAATTAATTGTATTCAAATATATTATATTTTGTTACTTTATTACTTGATGCTTTTGGTAAATCTGTCTGTGGCTGCAGTTGAAGAGAACTTGTTAAATTGTGTCAATTTCTTGCTTCAGTAAAGGCCTTCATTCACCTAGATGAGGAAAGTGTCTGTGATGCAGCACCATATTCTGCAAATTATTGATCGTTTCTGTAGATATGGCATCATAAACACAATAATCAAAAGGTGGATAAATTCAGGAGACCACTGAAGGCCTGGGTGTGAAATGGGCGACCTGCTACTGGAGTTCTGATATTCTGAGATCAATGTCCGAATTATGACTTTTTCTCTGTCAGAATTTAGCATGGACCAATTTTCTTTCTGTACATTCCAACCTGCACGTCGTCAAAGGATCTGTTTTTATACCAGGCTATTTACAACATGAACACAATTTTTTTAATAGTAATTTTAGGTTTAGCTTCAACCTTTTCTCCAGCAGAGCCTGTGAACCCATTAACCCGCAGGATGGAGGATTTAGCAAAGCTTTGCAAACAGATACAAGCCAATTATTTCTTATTAGGGCAGTTGTTGCTGAGTGGTCAGAGCAGTCATCCTCCAATGGGAGAGTTGGTGGTTCAATTCCACCAGCAGTCACATATTGAAGTGTCCCTGGGCAGAAAACTGAACCCCTCATAGCCTCTGATGTGTGTCCCATTGGTGTATGAATGTGATCTAAAGCACTGATTAGTCTCTACAGAATCAGATTATCTTTGTAGAGATGTAGTAAAGTGCTGTGTGAATGTGTGTGTAGTAGAGTGCTGTATGAATGTGTGTGTGGAGGTAAATGAGGGCACAGATTGTGCTGTAAAGAGCTTTGACAATCTTGATAAGTTAGAAAGGTGTTATATAAGTACAGTCCATTTACCATTTATTTCATTCAAAGCCTTCACTGTTTTAGATTATCTAATAAATGGTACAAAACTGGTTATAATCCATTTTATTGTTCAAGTATTTTAAAACCCACATTTCCTCAGAACTAACGATGGTTAATCACATAAAATAGCTTTATCGTCTGAACTGTTCATTTAAAGCAGTTTTTTGTGTTTCTGCAGCAGCTTCCCGTTTGTGAGCCTCATTGTGACCAGTGCTGTCAGGACGCAGCACACAAACAGCGCCGGGAAGGACATGCAGGCCCACCACAGCTGCCGCTCTCCAAACACCTCCACCACCGTGTCCCGCCGCCTGGCGTAGTCCTGGAACAGGGCCTCCAGTTGGAACAGCGTGCACAAGGACAGGAACAGGTGGAACACCTGGTGACCCTGGCCCACAATGTCACAGCGTCCGGGAAAGAAGCACTCAGGGATGGGGCAGGAGAAGAAGAAGGCAGCAAACAGGAACGAGGCGATCTGCAGGGCGTGGAATGCCTCCTGCGCCCATGAGGAGATGAGCAGGTGGTGCACCACAGGGCTGATGTCCAGCACATAGGCAAGGCTGGTGGGGATCAGCTGGCAGATTTTACGCTGCAGCGGATACGGACGCTCGTACCTGGACTTGGCAAAGCAGCAGCCGGCGCAGGAGAGCCACCCGAAGAAAGCTGCTCCGGGTAGAAAGACCAGCCCAACGCTGTCTCTCCATGCCGGCTCGGAGGTGTAGAAGTAATGGCTGAGCGAGCAGCCGTACTGATACACCGCCACGCCCACATAGTCCATGAAGAAGAAGAAGTAATGTGCACGCTCAGAGTGAGACTGCAGGAGGTGGGCGGCCACGCTCAGGCTCAGGTATGTGAGAGCGGACACCATGAAGAGGCTGAGAGGCAGAGAGGCTGCGTCCAAGGTGTACCCCACGGCACCTGCATTGGCCCACCAGCGGAGCAACAGCACCGGAGCCGCCAGCAGGTGAGTCCACACGTTCAGGGATTCGTTGTGCCGCTGAAAGAGGCTGAGCAAGTAGCAGCGCCAGTCTTGCCGGATGGGGCGGTAGCCCGACAGGATGTAGGGCTCCTGGAAGAGTGCAGGGACCTGGGAGGCGAGCACGGTGGGGCGGGGTGATGGCAGGGAGGATGAGACGAGGCCTGACAGGCGAGGGAGTCGGCTCAGGTGATTGACACTCAGCGTCAAGGTGCTGAGTCGCTGCAGGATCTCAGCCGACATGACCTCTGGTGGGCAGAGAAGCCTGAGGAGGAGAGAGCGTTAAAGCAGGATGTCAAGCTGAAGAAGAAGCTGCTGAGGGTTTGAACACATGGACAGTTTGGTGTCTGCTAATGAAACCACTAATGTTCTTAACAAGACTCGACCTGCGCAGTCTGAGGTGTGAAGGTTGTGACGAGATAAAACTACTAGACAGACATTTCAGACATTTTGAAGTTGCATGCCATGAATAAAATGGGTCCAATTAATATCTTGCATGTTAGATCTCCAACATGCAAGATAATTAATTGGACTCTTTGTAAAACATCAGTTTAAAGAAATAGAGTTCAACTCTGCCATGACCGATGAGCTTATGACTAGTCTGAATGTAGCTGGGACCAAAATGGATCACCGTTGTCTTAAAAGATGCTTACACCAACATTTAAACCTTTATTTCAAAGTCAGTTTTACTTTTATTTCAGCTACAGTTTCATGACTTTCCTGCCCGAGTGTTTCAGCTGATACCAGAATTGTGGGACCCTGAAAACCCAGACACACATGCACGCCGCAGGCCTTAATGCTCAGTCCTGATTGGCGCTCACATTCAACCATTTACGTAATCATTCAAAAGCGACCTCCATCAGACTCGGGTGTGACATGTTCACAGTTCTGAGGTGACCAACATGCACAAAATGTGACGTCACGCAGCACGCTGTGTTCAAGGAAGAAAACATGGCTGCCACACGTGTTAGCAAGTGGCTCTTACAAAATCAGACTGGAGCCATGTTAGCCTGCAGTGTGAATGTAGTCTGATTTTTTTTTTTTTTCTGTTTAGTACTATTGTTAGACTAATTAAAAGTCCCATTTCTGTTGACCCGTGTATTCCTACAACTATAAGTAGTGATGACTTCATGAGATTTTTTATAAATAAAATTATTTCAATTAGAGAAAATTCAAACCATCCTTCCTTCTACTATCTCTAGTCCCCTGTCAAATGAGGCATCTTTAAAAATTTCACTAGAGCCTGATTTATGTTTGGACAGTTTTTGTCCTGTTGAGTTCTCTGAATTATCAAAAATAATAACCTCATCCAAACCATCCACATGCCTGCTAGATCTCATCCCAACCAGACTGTTTAAAGAGGTATCCCCCCTAATTAATGTCCACATTTTAGATCTACTTAATTTGTCTTTAATGAATGGTTATGTACCGCAGTGCTTTAAGGTTGCTGTAATTAAACCTTTACTTAGGAAGTCTGACCTTGATTCAGAAATTCTGGCCAACTATAGACCTATATCTAATCTAACTTTCATCTAAAAAATTCTAGAGAAAATAGTTGCAGGTCAGTTGTGTGAACATCTACAAATAAATAATCTGTTTGAAGAGTTTCAGTCAGGGTTTAGAGCTCATCATAGCACAGAAACAGCACTAGTAAGTCACTAATGATATTCTCATGGCCTCAGACAATGGACTTGTGTCTATACTGGTCCTGTTAGACCTCAGTGCTGCATTTGATACAGTTGATCACAATAATTTACTACAGAGGCTTAAATATGATATTGGGATTACAGGAACGGCTCTAAAATGGTTTAAATCATATCTGTCTGATAGATTCCAGTTTGTAAATGTAAATAATAAATCTTCTTCATACAACAAAGTTAGTCATGGAGTTCCTCAGGGCTCAGTGCTTGGACCAATACTCTTTACTTCAATAATTTTACCTAATGGAAGCATATATAAACAACATTTTCATTGTTATGCTGATGACACACAATTATATTTGTCCATTAAACCAATGAATCCAATCAGCTACTTGGACTACAAGCATGTCTTAAAGACATAAAAACCTGGATGACCCTTAATTTTCTCCTGTTGAACACAGACAAGGCTGAGGTTTTAGTTTTTGGACCTGAGCACCTTAGGAATGAATTTTTCAGTCTTTCTCACTCATTAGATGGCATTAATCTGTCCTCCAGCTCTAATGCTAAAAATCTTGGTGTTTTTGATCAGGACATGTCTTTTATCCCCCACATTAAAATAGTTACTAGAACTGCCTTCTTCCACCTGCGTAATATCAATAAAATTAGAAATATCTTATCTAAAAATGATGCAGAAAAACTGGTCCATGCATTTGTCATGTCTAAACTGGACTATTGCAATGGTTTATTATCTGTGTAACAAGGGGGCCACACACAAACCTGTCCCCCGGGGTATATATACTAAACAAACAGGCCCCCTTGTTACAATCTGGATGTACAAATACTTCTTTAAAACGTCTTCAGTTGATCCAAAATGCTGCTGCCAGAGTCTTAACTGGAGTTAGTAGGAGAGATAATATTTCTCCAGTTTTAGTTTCTCTCCATTGGCTCCCTGTCAAATCCAGAATAGAAATCAAAATCTTACTTTTAACCTACAAACATCTAAACAACCTGGCTCCATCTTATATTACAGATCGTAGGGTGCATTCACACCAGCCCTGTTTAGTCCGCTATAATCGAACTCTAGCTCGTTTTCCTTGAAAGTCCGGTTCGTTTAGGGAGGTGTGAACGCACCATTTAACTCTGTCACGGAACAAAAAGGAGAACTCTGGCCCGGGCTAAAACCTAGGTCTCGGTCCAGTAGAAGCGAACTCCAGCGCGGTTCGAGTACAGTGTGAATGTAAACAGACCGGGCCCGCTCCTCAGGGTAAACAAACACACATTTCTCTGACCTTATATGGAGCTGTCAGCTGCCTTGTGTAGAAAAACAATATTCTCCATGGTCTTCTGTCTCATCTTCTGCTCATGCTGAGTCCATTTTTGAAACATGACAAAATATAACTCCTAAAACTGCTAAAACTTGATGCCACTTCGTTTTTATTTTTATTTACAGAAGAAGACATGTCTTCAGAGGTTTTGTGTCGTTTCTTTCAGTAGTTCTTGGTGCAGCGCCCCCACAGGCGAGCGGGGGAACAGGTTGGTTCAACAGGTTGGCTCGACTGCACAGTGCAGTGTGAATGCAAACGCACCAGCTCAAATGTAAACAAAAGCTCATGAATATTGGTCCCGAACCGAACAGAGTCTACCGGACTATCTGGTGTGAAAACGACCTTTTTGTTCCATATTTTCCAACCAGAGCACTTCGCTCTCAGGCTGCAGGTTTACTCACAGTTCCTAGAGTTTCCAAAAACAGAATGGGAGGAAGATCTTTTAGTTATCAGGCTCCTCTCTTGTGGAACCAACTTCCAATCTCTGTCCGTGAGGCTGACACATTATCCAGTTTTAAGACTGGGCTTAAGACTTTCCTTTTTGCTAAATCCTTTTAAAAGGGAGTTTTTTTATTTCCACTGTTGCCACTGTGCTTACTCAGGATGGGAGACTGCAACGAAGTAGATTCAACTTGTCTGCTGGATTCCTTAGAGAGCTTTACTAATTGACTTTTATGTGAATGTTCCTGTAAAGTGCCCTGAGACAACTTTGTTGTGATTTGCCTCTATATAAATAAACTGAATTATGTATAATTATATTACGTTATAAAACTGGTGCTCGATTAAATCACGGTGAAGTTTGGTCCTCCCTCGTCTTGGTTCAGATTACAACACTAAACCTGAGGTCAGAATGGTCAGAATGTCCCTTTAACAGTCAAACTCTGCAGCTCTTCATATTTTGAATTCCTCTCAGCCACATGACGTGTGTCGGAGCTTGAGCTAATCAGAGGACCTCCTTCAGCAGGTATGTGGACACACCTGTAGCGTGTCCCACCTCCTGTGACAGTTCTGACAGGAAGTTAAACCTGAATGGACCTGCAGGACGGGCCCTGTCCAACAGGTGCTGCTTCTCCTCACTTCTTCTCACCTGAACCACATATTACAGTCGTGGAAGATTGTTTTAGTTGATAACTGAGAAGTATTCGTTTTGAAACATTTACCACTCTGTATTTTTTAAACATAGAAAAACTGTGCATTTATTACTTTTAACAACATAACTGTATATTAACAAGAATTTAGTTTAATTTGTTTGAAGGGTCAGCCACAGGAGGAGCAGCCATGAAGAATAGATCATCTTACCTGCTGTTTCCCTCGAGTGTCTCCTTTTAATAAATAGGCAGCAGCAGCTCCCCTCCCAGCCGAACCGCACAGGTCCAAACAGCTACATGTTTGGTCAGAACCGGTAAACTCAGCTGACTGCCGCCGGAGGGCTGGATGTGTTGGGCGGAGTCTGAAGGACCACAACCGCCCCGGAGGCTCTTAACAAATACAAACATTTCATGAACAAACATGGCTGTTGTGTTCGTTGTTTCTGCTCTAATGGAAGAAAAGTTCCAGCTTTGTCTAAATCTCCCGTCGGCAGACAAACAAGGACCCAAAATAATAATAAGAGCTGTTCAACTCATGAGTCTTCTGTTTGTCTCTATCTACAGGACATATCTGATACTACAACTTCAACATAGAAACACTGGAGCTAACATGAAGGCACTTCAGCGAGATTTCTGTACGCCATCTTGTAAGGAGCTACTTGCATCACTGCTTACACTGTTAATGTCTTCTGTGCTGTTTGCTGCCATAAATAAACTACACAAAAACGGCATTGTGTTGCCTAAAGTATTGTAAATTATGCCTAATGAGAAAACTGAAACTAATGTGATGAATGTTATTAGGGGCAAAATTTACTTTTTTATGATCCCAGTGCACATGTGTAACCTCTGGCACCCCATCCCCAAATATATTCATATCTACTTCTGGTATTCAGGTTGTAAATTAGTTGTGTTGGCATTTTATGCTGTGATAAACAGGCAAACCGAGGCAAACAGAATGAAATGGGTGTTTTTTTAAGTTCTTTCCAGATGTTTGAATTTGGAATACCAACTGTTGATAAAAGGCAACGCAAAGATGAAACACAAAACTTAAAAATTATTTTGATATTTTTTTGTGGGATAAAGAAGGCATAGTACAGAAAATACACAAATGAGATATAAAAGTTTATTAATTTGATCAAGAACAGGAAGTAGGCATGGTTATATCTGAACCACAGTGAAACATCAACGAC